TACTTTGCAGTTCCTTGAACATACTATGTTCTTTCATGCCTCTCCTTCTATATCCTCTCCTCTGCCAAGAAACACTCTTTCATCTCTCCCTTTCTCTGTTTTGAATCTTAAGATTCTTCTAAAGTACTATGTTTTACTTGAAGCTTTTTCCAATACCCTCCCCTTTCTGTCCCTAGGCAGAAGCAATAACTTTCCTCTCATTTGTATGGGTGACATTTACCTATGCTTGCTGTAGCATTCATCACACCTTGATGACACGTTCCTTAATGGCTGTTATTTCTGAGCCCTAGCATTTACTACTGTGCTATGCCTGCCATGGAGTAGACATTTGTCAAAGTGACAGACTTTAAAACATTGTGGTAACTTCTTAATAAAGCTCATTTTATTCCATTTTTACATTCAAGAATATGCCCTCCTCCTTTTTTGGTGTCGAAATAGCCTTTTATAAAGTGATATGATAGGTGGTAAATTTTTTTTTTAATATGATAACCCTAATTTCTTTATTTCTGGCCCCGTGGGTAAGCAGTCTGAAGGAACAGCTCCCAGTTCATCATCTGCTGTCAGTTCTGTAATGAAAACTTCTGGGCAGCAGCAAGTGTGCGTGAGCCAGGCCACCATGGGAACCTGCAAGGCTGCCACCCCTGCTGTCGTCAGTGCCACATCCCTGGTGTCCACACCTAACCCCATCTCTGGGAAAGCTACAGTATCAGGTGAGTAGTGTCATGATATTATTTCTCTCTTTCTTTCTTTGGGCTAGAATATCTTTGGGAGGGTTTTAAACAACACTTAAGTCTGAGATTTTAAATTCATCATTTAAAATTATTATTTAATTTGTTATTTTAAAATTATTATTTACAATTTACAGATTGAATAATTTTTAAATGAAAAATAAAACCATAACCTCTCAGAACCCAGAAAAGTGTACCTTTTACTGCTTTGAGTAACAGAGACCACAAATCCTGAGGCCAGGTTGCCTTAGTTGAAGTAATTTGCTTCAGTTTCTCAGCTGTAAAATGAGATTGATAATAATACCTATCTCATAAAGTTGAAAGGATTAAATGAATTAATATATGAATGCTTAGAATACTGTCTGGAGTATAGTGGCCATTATGTAAATAATTGCTGCAATTATCATCATCAGTGTCATCTTTTTTGTTGTTAGTTCATAATCTCTTATCTGCAATTCTAAAATCAAAAAAAGCTATGAAAACCAAAGGTTTTATTTTTATAACTAACTGTAGGGCATAATTTGACCTCCATTGACAGCTAACTCGTACTACTTAATGTGAATATTCATGTGTTTTGCCAAATAATATTAATGTGTTTGATTACATCTTGCTGTCTCAGATGCCAGGGCGCTGATGTAATATGCAGCTTTGCTTCTCAAACTTCAAAGATCAGTTTTGTTTTTTGTTTTCTAGAATTCAGTACAGAGAGATACTTCTGTAAAATACAATAAAAATGTCACAGCAATGTCAAACTGTTACAATTTCTAAACTCTTAATTTCTGTATTGTTGCAGATTTATAACAGCCAGTTTACCAGCTGGCACTGGTCTACAGAAAAAACTGAGTATCACTGAGAGATACATAATACACACACATGCATAAATACATACACACATACATAGTTTACTACCTTTGGATAAGAGATTGTAGATGTTGTCATTATTTTCTCTTCATTCCATAGATAGCTTCACACCAAGCCCCTGTGTCTTGTTTGCTTTATGGATAGAGAACAAAACATTACGGCTGATTATATTTTTCCCATGATTCCCACCTCCCAGTTAAAATTGACCAAGTTCTAATATAGAGAGTGCTTGTTCTCTACTAACTGCGTGTTTTATGTGAGGTGCTGTGTTGGGCGCTGGAGTAGAAATTATAGAAATAGAAGGAATTATTATTATAAGTAGTTCATGCCCTTCCTCATCAGGCTTTTAGCATGCAGTAGATGAAATCTCCTTGCTTTAACTTCTAGTGTCCTAAGGTGCAGCAGCGAATCCACCTTTTTGTGTAACATTTTCATAAAAGGCTCAAACTGTTTCCTACTACAACCAGCAATTTTTTAATTAAATTTTTTGTGTGCATTATACACTATCCTAAACAGGGTCCCACTGGGACAGAAGCAGAGGGAGCCAGGGAGAGAGCGCTCAGAGATGAGGTCAAGGCATGCAGGGCCTGTGTGGGCCACTGTGAGGACTCTGACGCCAGGGGAAGCCACTGGAGGGACTTGAGCTGAGGAGTGACGTGATCCTTACCTTTTAGAGGGATTGTTGGTGCTGCATTGAGAGTAAACTGTAGGGTACAAAGTGAAAGCGGGAAGTAAACCAAGAAGTAGACACTAAGAAAGAAAGCTCTGTGATGTATCAGTTAACTCTGGCCAGACTAAAAGGAGTTCCAAAAAGAAAACAAAAAATAGGGAGAAGGAAATGATCCAAGAAATGAAACAAGAATTTTTCACAGAATTGAAGGGCATGAACTTCTAGGTTCAAAAGGCACAGTGTCTAGCACAATGAATGAAAGATGGCCCACACCCAGGCACGATGTGTTCAAGAAATCAAAACACCAGGGAGAAAGGGAAGATCTTATAAGTTGTCAGAGAGAAAAAGAAATAGAAAATTTCAGAAATTATATTATCATTGAGCTTCTAAATAGCAATGCTGGACGCTAGCATACTATTGTTTTTCAAAATTCTAGGCAAAAATCACCTTCAGTCTAGAATTCTCTAATCAGGAAGATCATTAATGAGGGTAGAAATATTTTTGAATTTCAAATGTATTTCTTATGTACCTTGTCCAAAGACATTACTAACATAGTATGTTTTATCAGAATGAAGAGGTGTAAACTAAGAAAGAGGACGAAAGTAGATAATGATCCAACATAGAAGGAAAGCAAAGGGAATTCCCAGGAGAACAGTAAAGGGACATTTCCAAGATGAGTGTTTGTGGCAGACCTAGAAAGCAACAGTTCAAACTGGAGCAGATCAGAGACCTCCAGGAGGGATATCTCCTGTAAAAAATGGGACTGTAAATTGTGTAGGAGATTTGACTATGTGGAAAGTTGTACTCTTGACTGGCTTACAGAGTTCTTGAAAGAGATGAGAAGACTGAAGGTAAGATGTTAAAAGAAAACTGAGCAAATGAAAGACGAGGGAATTACTAACTTCAGAAATAAAATGTAATCATAGTATCATGGTATACTACTTTGAATCAACAGAGAACAACAGAAGCTTCTCAACTTACAATGGAGTTACATCCCAACAAACCCATCGTGAGTTGGAAATATCATTAAGTCAAAAAAACTCGTGGCTGACTGGGAGCTGCAGCTCGCTCCCACTGCCAGGCATCATAAGAGAAGTGGGATTTCTACTGAATGCAGGTCACTTTCGCGTCATCAGAAAGTCCAAAAATTATAAGTCAGATCATTGTAAGAGACCATCTTTATAGGGAAGAGAAAATATAAGTGCCTTAAAAGGCTTATCTACCCTAATAGTAAGTCAGTAGGTAACATGAAAAATTGGTGAATCGGGGCCTGCAATATACAAATTCTTTTAAAAATACTGAAGTAAATATTGAAAGAAAGAACCAGAGAGTTAGAAGTCGTTACTACTGGGAAACTAGAAGAAGATTGGGAGGTGGAACAAGGGGTAGCTACTTTTAATTATAAGCTTTTTAATACTTTTTTACTTTTCAGCTGATCAGCATATAGTTTCATAAAAACATCAAGACACCAGGTCGTTGTTGTAGTCCCAAGGGCACATCTCAGTAATTACTACTTTCTTGTTTATTTAAGGCCTGTTCTAGAAGTATTTAAGATGATTCCTTTCCTTAGCTCAAACCAACTGCTTTCCAGTGCCTTAAAGTATCTTCAGCCTCTGACGTTGTTTTTAAGTAGTTGTTATTTTATAACATGAGTTTGTATAGCTTGTGTCTTGTGTTCTCTTTCACAGTAAAGGCCCTTTCTCATTTTTTACTAGCCCTCTGAATGCCTAGAATGGTTTTGTAATGGAAATGGGAATATGGAAATTACCTTTAAGATAAAACGAGGGAGGGTGACCCTTTCTAAAATAATGAAGAATACCTGATGTTTGAAAAATAAGGGCTGCACAGAAATAGGAGACAAGGTATGATGTGTAGACAGATGGAAGTATTAGATATGTAAGGATGGTGTGAAGGAGGTGTAGATAAATCGGGACCGGTTTAAAATGGACCCTGAATGCTTTGAAGCTAATTTTGGAAATATTCTTTAGGCAGTTGGGAGCCACAATAGGTTTCCAAGTAGAAAAATGCCAACTTTTTATATAAAATTTTATATCCAGTTTGTACACATTATAGCTATTAAATATGTACAGAACAAATAAACTGTCATAGAAAACAAACAGAAAAGAACTACCTCAAAATGTTAGTACTGGTTATCTGCAGTAGGACTTTGGGTAACTTTTTTCTCCTTCCTATTAGTCCTGCTTTTATAAAAAATTCTGTATTACTTTTTGGATGTGGGACAAGGCCACTTTAAAAATAAATAATTGTCATGACAGATGTTTTATTGTGAAATCTGTAGCATCCATTGCCTCATGCTTCCAGCTCTTTCTTTACTAAAAGGGTAAAGGTCCTAGAAACTTCCTCCTGTGAGAAAATATGAGTGGCAAGGAGGGGAAGGAACTTTAAGGAAGCATCAGATCTTCAACTTGGCCTTATCCTCTGATTTATTTTAGGATTATTAAAAATTCACTCCAGTCAATCCAATCCCCAGCAAGCTGTGCTAACAATTCCCAGCCAGCTCAAACCACTCAGCGTAAACACATCTGGAGGTGTGCAGACTATACTGATGCCTGTGAATAAAGGTAAGTCCTTCAGCCGTGGCCTGTCACACTGTGGCTGTCTCCAAGTCTCTCAGCGTCTATCAGTTGGTGCCTGCTCTTGCCTTGTACAGCCTGCCCTTCAGATGTCGTGGTATTCACTGGCACCTTGAACTCTCTGGCACCAGGGCTAGGACTGAAAGTAAAACCCAGCTGACCTACTCGCTTCTAAGTAGATGCCCATATCTAACACTGAGTTGAGGGGAACATTTTAAACATTTATGAGAATTTACATTAATTGGATTTTTATTTTCTTAGTTTAGTGACAAGCCCCCATTTCCACAGTTGAGGATATAGCTCAGTTACCCTGATAACTAATAACAGGCCAGCTTGTCAGATCACTGTAATAAAAAAAGGACCTTACCATTCCCATTGTCCTAAAGTTGTCTTTGTTCTGTTAGTCTGATAGGGGCTGTCACCTGGGATCATCCTCATTAAAAGTAATTTCTGTATTTGTTGTACCCTTCCCCCCTTTTTTGCCCTGTAGTGGTTCAGTCATTTTCTACCAACAAACCACCTACCATTGTGCCTGTAGCCACCCCAACTCCAGTTGTCCCCAGCTCTGCTCCAGCAGCTGTTGCAAAAGGTATGTAGGATCTCAAAGTGTTTTGTCTGGAAGTTTTATGCAGGACATTACTGTAATCTGAGCCCTTTCAATTTTCAGCAGCTATGAATCAGTCACTTGGCAAATAATGTACTAAGTGCTTACATAGTAGACTTGACACTGAGGGAAATACAGAGACATATGAAGCATCATTTCTGCCCTTCAGGAATTTATAACCTGGTTGAAGAGAATTGCCATAGATAGCAAGCAATGACTGGTAAATGCAAGATGAGTGGTCTGGAAAATGATTGCTGAAATATTGCAGTCTAGGATGTCTAATCAGGGTTGGCAGGGGTGTGGAGGGGAACAGGACTTTGTATGGGGTATGGATTGTAACCTGGACTTTAAAACAGTGACACTTTTTTAGCTGTGGAGAGGTCAGGGGGTTTGCCAGATCAAGGAAACAGTGCAAAGACTCAGAGGACTGGTTTAGGGGAGTAGACCAAACAGAGGGACTCATTTGGGTAGTATAGTTGTGGTAAAGAAGCTTTAGGTATGGGCCAGACTGGCAAGCTGGCAGTGGGGGACATTGCTGACAAGAACAGATCAAGATAGTGCAGTGGATTAGAGAAACACATTTGGCATCTATAGCATCCCCAACAATAACGATAGCTACTGTGTTATAATGAGAGCCTACACTGTACCAGGCACCATGGTAGCTGCTTTAAATACAGCATTCAGCGTATTAATGCCCTGTTAATGCCTGTTTTGCAGATGAGAAAACAAGTTTGGAGATATGAAGTATATACTTTCCAAGTCTGGAAAGCAGTGAAGTTAGAATTTTAAATACATCTGTCTGGTACCATGGCAGGCTGCTTTTCAAGCATGCTGGAATCTCTCATGATAGTCTTAGGAAGAGTTGGATTTGTAACTTACTAAATGACCACCTAAAGCAGGGTCTGGCAGCCTGTAGTCCACTGCCTCTTTTTGTTTGTTGACACATAGGCATGCCCATTCACTAATATATTGTCTCCCATGCTTAGTTCCTGCAGAGATCGGATGACCCGCAAAGCCTAAAATATTTACTGGTTTAGCTCTTTATAGAAAAAGTTCACCAACCTCTGATCAGAAGACAGCTCATGAAAGAATTGGTGTCTCTCTCAACAGGAGGTACATGGCATAGGCCTGCCGAGATTCTGATTCAGTTAATTTTGGACTGGGCAAGAGTATATCTGTTTTAGTTTTTAATTGAAGTAAAATGTTCAGTGAAATGCAGTTACACCTACCATTTGATGAGCTGACAAATGTTTAAACCCATGTAACCAACACCCCATTTAAGATACAGAAATTTCCACCCTGTGCCCCTCCAATCAATTCCCAACCCCCATAGGCAACTGCTATTCTGATTTCTATTACCATAGATAAATTGTTTCTATTTTTGAACTTTATGTAAATGGAAGCACATATGTTCTTTTGTGACTGGTTTCATTCACTCAGCATAATGTTAAGATTCATCCGTGTTGTTGCTGAGTAGTATTCCACATTGTAGGAATATACCATAATTTGTCTTTTTTCCTGTTGATGGACATTATGGTTGTTTCCAGTTTGGAGCTATTATGTACAAATCTTTGGGAACATAAGTTTTCATATCTCTAGTAGTAGATCTGTCCCAGCCTGAAAATGCTATTATTATATAATTCTGTAATTATTTGAATGTCAGATGAAAGTGAGTATACTTGAACCTATAGAACTGGAGTATCTGAACTTTTTCTGAGAACTTCTGTTTCTTGAAGTCTGAAATCATTAGGAGTTGGGATAACATGCATTGTTAAGAGTCAAATTAGCAAGGTCACTCAGTATAAGTCAGTATGCATTAAAAAATCATTTGAATTTCTGTATACTGCCATAACAATTAGAAATTGAAATTTAAACGAACATTTACAGTAGCACCAAAAATACCAATATTTAGTTACTAAACCTAAGGAAAGATAGTCTTATATGCTAACAATCTGTTAAACATTTCTGAGAGAAATTAAAGACATAAATAATTGGAAGGGATATACCATATTAAATTTTTGAAAGACTTGATGAACACTTGAGTTTTCTACCAAAAGTGATGTCTGAATTCAATACAGTCCCAATCATAATCCCTACAAAGTTATTTTTGTTGTCTGTGGGTAGAAACTGATGTGCTAAGTCTAAAAGGTATATGGAAATGCAAAGGCCAAAACAGCTGAGACAGTATTGAAGCACAAAAAAGCTGGGGGACTTAGACTACTAGATACACATATTATAAAACCACAGTAATTGAGATTGTGTGTGGTATGGGCTCAAAAATAGACTAATGGAACAGAAAAGAGAGCCCAGAAATAGACCCACACATATATGGTAACCTGATTTATGACAAATTCAGTAGGGAAAGGTTGGTCTTTTCAATAAATAGCACTGGCTTAATTGGATATATCCATTTGGGAAAACAGTGAACCTTGGCCTCTACCTCATACTGTAAACAAAACCTGATTCGAGTTGGATGTTGGACCTAAATGTGAAAGGTAAAAAAATAAAGCTTCTAGAAGAAAAGTGAGACTATCTTCATGACCTTGAGCAAAAATATTTTAAACAGGACATATAAGGAAAACCATAAAAGGAAAAAATTGATAAGGCAGACTTCATTAACATTGGGAGCCTCACTTCAGAGGTCAAGAGCAAAAAGTCAAGCTACAGACTCAAAGATATTTGTGCTCACTCTCTCTCTCTCTCCATATATATATATAACAAAGGAGTCATATCCAGAATATATACAGATCTCCTAAAAGTCAATATTAAAAGACTGACCCTAATTTTTTGTTAATGGACAAAAAAACATGAATAGGCACTTCACAAAAGAGGAAATCGCAAAAGTTCATAAGGCTATGAAAAATTATTCAACCTCATTAGTCATCAAGGAAGTGCAAATTAAAACCGTAGTGATCCACTGGAATCACCAAATCAAAAGGACTGAGAATACCAAGTGTTGAGAACAGTGCGAAGCAACTGGAAATTGCATACGCTGCTGGTGGGACTATAAATTGATACAATCACTTTGGAAACCAGCTTGGCAGTTTCTAATAGTTAAACAACATCTGCCCTATGTTCTAGCAAATCCACTTCTAGGAAATGAGTGCATATGTCCACCAAAAGACACATGAGAATGTTCATCACATTGTTATTCATAATAGCTAAAACTATGCTGATGCAAAAGAGTGTGCACAGTATGACTCCAGTTATATGAAATTCACAATGGGGAAAGGTGAATACCTTTGTCACGGAGGAAGTGCCAAAAGCATAAGGGCGTCTGCTTGAGGCAGGGAGGCTGCATCTTGGTTTGACTGGTGAGTACATGGGTGTCTGCATTGATAAAGTTTATTGAACTTGGTATTTGTGTATTTAACTGAATGCAAAGTATACATCAGTAACAAAAAGAGGGGAAAAGAGGTACTACTAGTATATCTCATTTGTAGACCCCTGTTGTATAGGGAACCCCTGAAGCATACTGAGTAGGGGAATTATACCAGTCAGGTATTTTAGGAAAATTATTTGGTGCTGATGTGCAAGTTGGATTTTCAGGGAAGAGAGCAGAATCAGGGAAGCTGGTGCTGAAGCATGGAGTGTGTGATCATGGTTTTTTGAGCGAAGAAGACTGTTGAAGGGCAGGAAGGCACATGCAACTGGGACATTGCTATCTTCCATCAGTAGATTCAGTAATACTTAAAGCCTGGTGTGGTTAGCTTGGAGGTTTCCAAGCACAGTGGATCTGATTTTTGCTTTCAACCTTCTGTCTCAGAACACTAAGATGAGGCTGAAAGTTAATAAACTAGCTGGAGAGATGATACCAAAAAAATCATATTATTGGAACTTAGAACAAGCCAGCATTGTAGTCTAATGTGGCATTGTTCAATCACGTGTGTTGGTGGGGCTGAGGGATCTCACATAGCAGTGTGGGTGGCCCTTTAAAAAATATCTAAAAAGCCATTTTGTTGCCCCCCTCTTGTCATGAGCCTGGAGTTGCTCCCCCTGAGACCCAGGCTAACAGTTCTTCCCTTGTCTGCTGACCCTGTGATGATAGGAGCCATCTCAGTCTCCTGGCTGTGTCCCTGCAACAGCTGGAGTGGCAGTTTCCTCACTGAGCTTCAATGGAAGAGCTTTGTTTCTGCCTGCACGTGTCCTTCCACCACTGAATCCTGACAGCTCTCCCTTTGTTGCTCTTCCCTTGTAGTGAAGACTGAACCAGAAACACCGGGGCCAAGCTGCCTCTCCCAGGAGGGTCAGACAGCAGTGAAAACAGAAGAAAGTTCTGAGCTGGGAAACTATGTCATTAAGTAATTATTCCAGTCTTTTCTAAAGGAGTTCTGCTTTGCGTGTTAGTATGATGCTTTTTAAAAAACAGCTGTCACACCTGAGTATGTGTAGAGTTGTGTTTGTTGAGAGTTAAGCCCTTGATGGGGGAAACTGTCCGTGTGTGGTGAACACAGGTATTACCACTTGATGCACAGTGGTACACATCATGTACCATGATGTGATGTGACTTGATTTGTGGTCTTAGAAGCCTCAGATGGGATTACAGACCTCCCTTCAGTTGGGCTTGCCAACACATACTTTCTCTGTGGAATCCTTGGGGATGAAATGTCTTGTGATATGATCACTCAGGTGTGCATACATTTTGTGATGCTGTCCACACAACCTGCCTGATTTTACACAGCCACCTCTCCACGGGCCATACACACTCGTAGCTTCTTCTAAAAATGCTTCCTGAAGTTTTCTAATTTCCAAATTGGGAACCCACCTATGATCACATCCTTTGAAGTATCTCCACCTGCTGGGGACAATAAAAATGTTTAAACATAATAGATGGAGGCATGAACTGGAATAGCTCCAAGATGGGCATCTATGTGATAGAATTTTTGTGCTCTAGTAGCAGTCACATTCCCAAAAAGATTATGTTGCTATTTAACTTAAAAATAATAGATAAAATGTCTGTGATAATTGCATAATTTGCCATTCCTGGGGTCATAATTAGATTATTTAGTCTTGACATTCTCTTTTTAAACACAAACTTTCTTTATAAAGAAGGCTGTCTGTGGAAGGAAAAACATGCCAATATAATGGTTTTAAATTATAATTTCCTCAGAAAGGGGGAATATGTACATAAAATACATGTATATATGTGTCTAGAAACTGCTACATGTATTTAATGTATTTCCTTAATTTTTTTTATCCTTCTCAGGATAGATCATTTAGAGACTATCCAGCAACTCTTAACAGCAGTAGTAAAGAAGATTCCATTAATCACTGCAAAAAGTAAGACAATTATACTGAATATATGCGTACAACATTTTTTTAAAGCTATAAACTACTTGGGGTATTGACTCAACTTTAAATCTCTTGGGATTGTAAATTAATGTAGACGTAGCAGTTATTATCTTATGAGGTTTTAGCTAGAGATATAGCTCATTTGCAGGGGTTTTAGGATTCACGTCCAGTTATTATTTTATTATTTTCACTGTGCTTGATCTGTAAAAGGAATTTCTTACAATTATTTTTATATATAAATCATAAATTGTTGTGTACATAATGAAAATTCTGGTAGCCAGGTACATTAGCACGTGCCTATAGTGCCAGCTACCTGGAGGATTGAGTCCTGGAGTTCAAGGTTGCAGTGAGCTATGATCACACCACTGCACTCAAGCCTGGGTGGCAGAGTGAGACCCCATCTCTTAAAAAAAAAAAGAAAAGAAAGAAAACAACTCTGCATTAGTTTTTAATGTTTTTTAGTAAGGAAAGAAATTAGCATTTGCTTACAGTGTGCCAGACCTTGTGCAGGCTCGTCACATTACTCTCTTATTTACTCACAGTCTCTTGTGTGATAGGTGGTGTCATCTCCATTTTACAGATGAGGAAACTGAGGATAAGCAAGGTTAAGTAACTTGCTCAAGATCACACAGCTGTGGGTGGTGAGGCAGGATGCAAACCCCACTCTGTTTGACTCCAAGACCATTAGCCTTTCCTCTAAAACGCAGTATCACTCACTTGATAGAAATGCACGATTTTCAAAACACCCAAAGCGAAGTCTGCTGTGTTACTGCCCATTGTTAGCAAGAATGAATATTTTGCTTCTAAGCCCCAGTTGTGCTTACAGAATCAGTAACCCTTACTGAGGGCCAGGAAACCCGTGGGTACTTAGGCGGGTGCTCTTGGGCAGGATCAGTGTGAACATGTAGAGGGAAGACCTGAAGCAGGTTGTCATACCACTTGCATTCATAGGGATATGAAAATGATAGGCCAGGTGCAGACTGCCCTGCTTATTTTTTCCAACTGTAATAGCAAAGACATGACCTTTTTTTCTCATTTGAAGTTTGGGGGATCATTTTGAGGTAGTTCAAAGTAAATTTTCAGTGACAACTTCCCAGCCCAATAGAAAAGGATTCAAAAAAATCTCTCTTTAAAAATTTAGATACAAATACGGACTATAAGAGCTGAAAGACAGTTCAGAAACCATCTTTCCCAACTTTCTCATTTTATAGATAAGAAAACTAAAGCCCAGAGACGTGCTGTGGGTTGCCCCGGGCCACTTAGTGAGTTAATGGCAAGCCCGGGGCTCCTCGCGGAGTGCCATTTCCCCTTATTTTAATAGCTTTATGGCAATAGATTACCTTTCTCTACCAAAGAAGTCGAGTTCCTGAGGTGGGGTGGTGGCCTGAGTACGTGCAAGTGGGACACTGTCTCTCTCCTAAAAAGAAGCCCTTGGCTGGGTGCGGTGGCTCACGCCTATAATCCTAGCACTCTTGGGAGGCCGAGGTGGGCGGATCATTTCAGCTCAGGAGTTTGAGACCAGCCTGAGCAAGAGCGAGACCCCATCTCTACTAAAAAAAATAGAAAGAAATTAGCTGGACATAGAAAAAATTAGCCAGGCATGGTGGCACATGCCTGTAGTCCCAGCTACTTGGGAGGCTGAGGCAGTAGGATCGATTGAGCCCAGGAGTTTGAGGTTGCTGTGAGCTAGGCTGACGCCACGGCACTCCAGCCCAGGCAACAGAGTGAGACTCTGTCTCAAAAAAAAAAAAAGCAGCCCTTGTATGTTGAGCTGTTCCTGGGCTTGCTCAGTGAGGAATGTGTATGCAATGAAGAGGTCTGGAGAAACTACTGGACATGCCTCTGGCAAATAAGATTTGATTTGAATCATAACAGCTTTGTTGAGAGTGGCTGGGTATGTGCGTTCTAGGTGAAGATGCCAGCTGCTTTTCTGCAAAGTCTGTGGAGCAGTATTACGGCTGGAACATTGGGAAGAGGAGAGCCGCTGAGGTAATCCCACGTGTGCCTGTTTGAGACACAAGCCACCACTGAGCCTGTGGGGAGAAGAGAACTGCAACCCCTGTGCATTCTGGCTGCCGCCATAAACCTTGTCTTATGGAATAATGATAAAACTTGCAACCTATTTTGTTAAAATATTTGGCAGAATGGTTTCCTCAGTTAAAAATCTCATGTTTCAAAGACCTATATCTAGCCTTTGAAAAGCCTACTTTATTTTCCTGCATTGGTAGAATCATTCCTTGCATTTTCTAAACAGTTTTTATGAATTTGAAAATACTAAAATGAATTCAAGTATTTATTGAGTACTTACAGTATGGCAGCTGCTATGCAGATACAGTGGGGTTGTACGAAGAGAAAGTAGCGTGTGTAAAGGCATGTTTAGGAAGGAGTGAAAAGTCAGTGTGGTTGGTTTGGGGGAAATTAGAGAAGAAGGGGGAGTGGGAGTCCTAGGTTGAGACCAGACGAAGAGCCTTAAAGGCCAAACCTGAGAGTTTCTGTTTTATTATAAGCATCAGGGAGCCAGTAGAAGTTTTTTTTTTTTTTTTAAACTGAGAAGTAACACAATCAGATTTTTTTCCTTAGAAAAAATGAGTCTCACAATTTAATTTAGCATGGTGGTTTACAATTGTGACTTTCTGATAAGCAGCTAAGTCAAAGGATTTGATTATGGTTCAAAAAAATGTTTTTTAAGTGGCAAAGAGCGATGACAATGCGAAAAGTCTTACAAGAAATACTGGAGAAGAATCCAAGATTTCACCACCTGACCCCTCTTAAAACCAAGCACATTGCTCACTGGTGTCGCTGCCATGGCTACACCCCACCAGATCCTGAGAGCTTGAGGAATGACGGGGACTCCATTGAGGATGTGCTGACCCAGATCGACAGCGAGCCAGGTGAGCGATTGGCTGAACTGCCAGGAGCACCCTGGTGGCCTGGGGACACCTGCTGCTGAGCACAGCATCTCTTCAGCCCCAGCAGTGTTCAGTACGCCTTCAGCTGAGGTACCGGGGCCTGAGGGCTTGGAAGAGTTGCCATGGAGTGCAAGAGCCTTTGCTTACCTCTTGCCATGTCCCCCCAGGACTGCACTGTATCTATAGAACTGTTTGTACCTGAGTATTTCAACTGTTGTACCCCAGCCAGGAACGTTCTGGCCCATGCCATCCAGCAGGCATGCCCTGGTAGTTTGGGAGTCCCCTCCCCAGCATCATTCTCCTAATCCACCCCCTTTCCTCCAGATGGAGGCAACGTCCCCTTCCTTCGTGACCTTATAACCCCATAGTCAGGTCTGTCCTATTCCCATGAAGATGGGGCCTGTGTCTTATCTGTTACTTTGTCTCCAAACCTAGCTAGGAATACCGCCCAGTGTTGGGGGCACATGTGAACAACTAATGATGCTGCAGCTAAAATGAAGTGAGCATTTTATGATAAAGAAACAGACAGACAACTGCTGTATGGCCGCAGGGGCCTAGGGGGCAGGGCATAAAAGGTGTTTGGAGAGAAGAAGCACTTTGAGTTTCACCTTAAAAAATAAGAAGGGAGGCCGGGCGCGGTGGCTCACGCCTGTAATCATAGCACTCTGGGAGGCCGAGGCGGGCAGATTGTTCGAGCTCAGGAGTTCGAAACCAGCCTGAGCAAGAGCGAGACCCCGTCTCTACTAAAAATAGAAAGAAATTAATCGGACAACTAAAAATATATAGAAAAAATTAGCCAGGCATGGTCGCGCATGCCTGTAGTTCCAGCTACTCGGGAGGCTGAGGCAGGAGGATCGCTTGAGCCCAGGAGTTTGAAGTTGCTGTGAGCTAGGCTGACGCCACAGCACTCACTCTAGCCCGGGCAAAAGAGTGAGACTCTGTCTCAAAAAAAAAAAAAAAAATAAGGGTGTTTTCTCTTCCCAACCCCATTTATGTAGAAAAACAGAAGCCCTATCTCCCTGTCTTGAGGGAACCTGGAGCACAGAGGTGGGGTCCTTTAAGACTTAGGGTCCCATTTTCTCCATGAAGCCTCCTGAGAGCCTAATACAGGGTGATTCTCCTTTCTGTGGTCTCCTGTAGCACTTAACGTCAGTACTACGAGAGTTCGTCTGACATAGACATGTAAACCATATTGATCACCTCTGTGCTTCACTGGTACGATATGTAAAGCACAGCACTTGACATATACTAGGCTTGCTGTTAATATGACTGATTACAGATGGTTCCTGACTTACGATGATTTGAGTTAAGGTTTTTTGCCTTTACGATGGTGCCAAAGTGAAAGGCATTCACTCTGTTCCTCGATTTGTTTGTTAGAGCCCGGTCAGTAAAACAGAAGAGGGGCCAGGAGCTGGATGCTCTGCCACCATCTTGCTGGGTCCCTTTGTGCCTGGTCTCGACCTTACGTATTCATCCATAAAGTGAAAGGCGAACACTACAACTGGCTGTAAAGTCCTAGCCCTCTTTGTTAGGCTTTGTATAAATCACCTTATTAAAGACTGGTTGCACAGTAAACATTAAACATTAACATCCTGCTCTCTGGGCAGTGAGAACATGGGTGATTTTTATTTTCTTTACCCTGCATTTCTAAATTTTCCAGATTTAAAAGTTGAAAAATCAGTTTAGTCATTAATACTTAGAGGGTAAGGGGATGGCCTGGTTTTTGTGGCAGAAGTCAGAATTATGTGCTGTTTTCTCATAGATGGCAGTGACATCGTATAAATCACGTACTACACAAGATGCCTGTCTTGGTGCTTTCCTGCCTTATGAATCACTAGTTCTCATCATTATAGATCCATAGGATTATATTACTGGAAAGAAGGTCAGCTCCCTTGGCACTTATCCTCCTTCCTCAGACTGTGCTCTTATGGAGGCTGAAAGTCCTTTTTTGTTGTCACCACAGCTGTCATAAGACTGGTTACCTCTTGTTTAGAGTGTCCGTCATCATTCTCCTCTGCTGACAACCTCTGCCAGAAACTGGAGGACCTGCAGCAGTTCCAGAAAAGAGAACCAGAGAATGAGGAGGAGGTGGACATCCTCAGCCTCTCAGAGCCATTAAAGATAAACATCAAAAAAGAGCAGGAAGAGAAAGAAGAAATGAAATTCTACCTGCCACCAACCCCAGGGTCTGAATTTATTGGTGATGTCACACAGAAGGTAGGGGGCTGTGGCCTACTGATAGATCACAAACCAGGCGCAAGATTCTGATGTTCAGCCCTATAAACTGCGACCCAGACTTTTCTGGTGACATAACGTGTGATTTACTTCTGCCTGGTAAACCCAGGCAAGCTCTGTGGGCTCCCACCTTCCCCATCAGAGCCCCTGGGCAAGAAAACTGATTACATGTGAAAAGGTGGCTTGGTGAACGTGAACTTGAAGCAAAGCCAGCTAGATTTAGTTAGTATTACTTTTCATCTCCTTTTTTCTCACCTGCCTCAGGAGAAGCACCTTTCCTTCATGAGGCATGTCATTAACATTTATAAGTTATACTTCAGTGAGTAATCTTTCCCTGACATTTTTATAGCTCCTACGTGCCCTGTCTGTGGTGTAGACATGGTGCACACTGTGTCCTGATTGCACAGGAGAGAGTTATTTGCCCACCCCTGATTAACTTAACAGCTCTTTAGCATCTGCCACCTGCCAGCTGCACAGGACCCAAAGTTGAAAGACAGTGTTTATTTTCACTTAAGGATGAAATGAAAAGTGGGACAAGATGCAGTTCCCAAATACATCTTCTTCACCTCTTGCAGACATGGCCTTTGAGTCTGATTCCAGAGCTTCCAAAGTATTGATCCTGCTGGCAGAATTCATGGCGAATCCTGTCCATGTTGTGCCATGAAGGAGATTTCAGAGTAAAAACAGGATTATAATAGCATTTTAAACAATCAGTCAGAAACGTGGAAAAATGAAATAACATATTTTTCCGAATGTTACATTCTGTGTTACTTCCCTATGAGTTTTGTCCAGGATGTCTGTAGAGTCTCTCTTCCACGCAGGCCTCTCTTTGGGTGTCAGAGAAGTAGTATGCTTGTTTAGAGAGAGGCTTTTTAAATGCAGAAATAAGAACAAATGGCTTTCTTCTGCTTTTCCAGATTGGGATCACCCTGCAGCCGGTGGCACTACACGGGAACTTGTATGCATCAGTGGTAGAGGACATGATCCTAAAGGTGGGTACCTGCTGGTGGCATGCTCTAGGAGGTGGCAGAGACAGAGCCTTGGGTTTTCTGTACGTGTCACAACAATAGAAATAGCCACAACTGTCCCATCCCTGGGCAAGGGGGTGAAACAGCCACAGCTTCCTTTTCTAGAGGATTCCTTTTAGGAATAGGGATATCTTGGTAGCAACTCTTACCTCTCTTGTCCTTAGAAACAACATCTGATGAATGAAGATTACCCTGATTCATAATTTCTCAGATTCATGGCCTGTATCGTTCATGGTCTGTTACTCAGACCTTTAATTTTTCCTTAAGGAATTTTTAATCCTTGTTTGGAATTGCTTCAAAAGTTTGGGGTAAGGGAGGGGTCAGATGCCTCCCTTCTCGCCAGCAAGCAGATGGCCATTTCTGAAAGTAACAGCATCTTCCATTGTAGGCTACAGAACAGCTGGTGAATGATATCCTGAGACAGGCTTTGGCGGTTGGATACCAGACAGCATCTCACAACAGGTACTGCTATCTCTGCAGTCAGGGGTATGAGGCTTACACCTGTTTCCTAACAGTTTAACTGCCCGTGAAGATGTTTTATACTTAAATCAGTCCAGTAGGAGATTCAGTGCTTGGGAGTAAGAATGCTTAGAACCAGACAGACTCAAGGGTCTGTTCTGTTATTTTGAGAAAACCTTGTGGTTGTGAAAGCTCAGCTTTGCCCAGAGGTCTCTATCCTCCCCATCATTATTGTCCCCATTGTTACATACCTAGGACTGTGTTTTGTTACAGGGTTGAACAAATATCAGCTCTTTGCAATTAAAGTTAACATTAGTGTCCATTGTGTGTCAGACGTTAGAGCCAAGCATTACATATATTACATAATTTGTGTTTCATTGCAGAACTATTCCCCTTTTAGAAATTGGGAAACTGGGCTTTGAAAGGTATCTTACCTGGTTTTCCCAGCAAATATACGGTAGAGCCTAGATTCAGACTCAGGTTTCATTGGCTCCAAAGCCCACAGGCTCACCACTACTCTTTGCTAACCCAAACCACCTTTGATTGGAACACTGAACTTCACTCTTATGCTAGGCTCTGAAGGAATCATATATAGGCCACATCCTGCTTTTCTTTCAGAGGAAACGAATATTTTATTCCATTATGCTAATGGCTGTCAAAAATTTATAAAATTGTAACAAAGTGCCTGAGGACATGAAGAGGCCTAACTCAGGATAATGTCAGGCCAGAATTCACAGGGATATAATAGAAGTCTTTAGAAAACAGGAAAGGGGACAGAGTTCCAGTCCTGCTGCCCGTGGTCCTGCTTGAAACCCTAGAGTGAGCCGAGTGCCTCCTGGGGACCTTGCTCGCCTCCATGGCCCTGACTCTGGAGTGACTGGGTGTTCTGATGAGAACATTTAACATCACACTTGGCCTGGCATGACTCCATGAGATGGGAGATACAGTCCCAGAGTTCTGTGGTGCTTTGACTCATCTCTCAGTCTGCTGAGACTGTATTATAAACGTGACATTCTGTTCTGTTATCCATTTTACTTTCTCCAGTCCTCAGAATCTTTTTTCCTAATCATTCAGCTAGCTTCTTGAAATCCTTCTTGTGCCTGTGACTAGGAAGTCAGATCTGAGCCCTGACCAGGACTGTGACTGGGGGGAGGCCAGACCTTTCACCAGAGCTGAAAGGCAGTGATGGGAAGGGAGAGAGAGAGTGTACCTGGACAGTGGCCCTCAGCCATGCCTCATCACTCATCATTGTCCCCTTTCATAATGCCTCTGCAGGGGATGGTCCCTGTGGAAAATTAATTGAAATATACTTGAGAGAATTACACCTAATAACATACTTTGTTTTTTGGACCAGGGTTCCCAAAGAAATTACAGTGAGTAATATCCACCAGGCCATTTGCAACATTCCTTTCCTGGACTTCCTCACAAACAAACACATGGGGATATTGAATGAGGACCAGTGAACAGAACGAAGATGCCCCTAGAAAATCAGGATGTGAAGGCATATCCAAAGCAGGTGAACCGTGATGACTCTTCTCTTTGGGGAAGGCAGTTGTTTTCTTTGTGCCTCAGGATATCATGGCTACCAGACCATTGCCTCTGCCTCTGCCTAACACCAGAGTGTTCGGTTCCAGATGAAATCCTTTTAGGACAGAAGTTTGTTTCCTGATTCCAGAGTGAAGCTGTAAGTGGATACATGCTCTGTCAATTTACATTTCTTCCCTCTCTGTAAAGGCTCTGTAAGGGGGTCTCAACACTGGGCCAGGCTGTGCATATTGTGTCCTTCTCTCCTCTGAGTGTACTCAAGGGGGAACATTGGGCCTCACTCGCCAGGAAGTAGACAGTGAGTCTGGCAGGCTAGAGATTTTACCCATTCAGTGGGCTGGGGTAACGGGAAACTCCAGCAGTTACCCTGAAGAGGGACTGGACTTTCAGCACTCAGCGAGCGGTTCTTTGCTCCTGCCTGGCCTTGGTGTGGAGGATCTGCACTCTTAACAAAGTGAGTCAGCTACAGGAAGAGGTAATGCCATGCAAGGAACCACAAAGGCCTGGGAAGCTGCAAACTGAGCAGCATTCATTTTTCGTGGAGCAGAGGAGCATTACTGCAACCAGTGTCGAAGCAACCTCGGGATGGAGAGATCCCAGCGTAGGTCAGGAAAAGATTTGACTATAACCCAAGAAACTCTTAATACTAGTAATAGGCAACAACCACAAGTCCCCGACACTTGGCAGAATTGTACCAGCTTTACTTGTGTGTGCCGAGCAGATAGCTGGTTCTGCACCATTTGCATGGTCTGCAGGAGATTTGGCTGAATCCGTGTTGAGTGGGAGCAGCCCCTGGGCAGGCTCTGCTGGGATCCTTTGTCCTATCAGTGGATTTAGAATTCTGTTCTTTGTTGAGTTTTTCCCAAGAAGAAAAGTGTTTAAAAGAAACACCTGTGAGTGCCTTAAAGTTGGAGCAATTACTGTTCAAGCCCAGAGACAGGGATTCCAGTGCTCAGAAGCAGTGAGAGTAGGTGGCATCCATAGCAAAGCCCCCTTGATGGAGGGAGCAGACAGAAGAAAGGTTCTCAGTGCCACTGCATGGTGTCCAGTCTACTGAAGCTGCCCTATCCCAGGCTTCCCAACGTGGTCTGTGTGGAAGGTACAATGAAGAACTTACTCTGTTAGAAATCTGCTCTTACTCTGCTCAAAGAAAATTTGAAAGCTGTGAGTCAGAGTCAAAGAATCTTGTCCAAGCAACATAATTCTTGTTTTATGGGTCCTATAGATGTTTGAGTCAGGAAAGTAAGGCAGTGGAGGTAACAGGATAAAATCTACCTTTTTAATTTAGCATCTGAGGGCTATAAGTGCAGAAGGATTCTATTCTCAGTAGGGCATAGGGCATGCCCTGGCTTAATAAAATAGTTTTAGGATATAAGGCTCACATATTCTATATATGAACTACTACATGCAAGGCTGATACACAGGTGTACAGATTCTATCAGCAAGTGGACTCTGAGATCTACAGGGTGGAAGATTTGATCCATATGAGAACAGAATTTGTTCATTACAGGTATGAAAGCCTGAAGAAATTATCTTTTTGCAAAAGAAATATTAAATGATTTAATATTTGTGTTACTGTTTCAAGTGTGTTTGTATCATAATGTGTAACATAATTGTGTAACAAAAATGTCTACAATAAATCTTTTAGTATTTGTGGTGGGTTTTTCTGAGTTTGAAGCACTAAGATAAGGTTCTTCTAGCATGAGGTCAGAAAGCATGGGGATGAGGTGAAGGTAGAGGCTTTGGTGTGTTTAAATTAATTCCTCTACTTCTTTCCAAAAAATATTTGCAAGCATGCAAGGTAAAGGATTACAGTTACATAAAAGTCAAAAAAAAAAAAAATTGCAAGATACCTGTTGACCTTGGACATAATCATTTCTGACAGCTTGGAGCAAAGGAAAACTGCAAAAATGAGCTCAGTTTCCTCAAAGCCAAGGCAAAGAGGGACTTGGCTTCTGTTGTCTAACAAACATACCGGTTTAACTGGCAGGATAAAATTGGACTATGCTGAGGTCTGAAAGAAGTTGCTCCTGTGACACAGTCCTTATGCTGTGACCATCTGCTCTCATATGACTAAATAATAACAAAAAATGCAGAAACGTAAGAGCTAAAGACTTTGAAAGCTTTGGTTCTTTAAACTCAAGAATCTCTGCAAGGAGGCACTGTGATACAGGTCAGGTGTGTAGCTTTTTGGGGACCAGACGACACTTAGGTTCAAAATTGGGAAAGTCGAATATTTGAATAGTTTGGAAGAACAAGAATTGGAGCATGCTCAGGCTTGCCTTCATGAACATTAATCATCTCAGCCAGGGTTTTGACAGGAGCTACAGAGCAGACACATCAATGTCGCAGACAGTACCTTAAATGAGGACTCCATGTTATTGGTTGAATTGGACCAACAGAGTCAGCTTTGGGGCCTCTCTTGACCCTGTCCAAAGGGGAAGCTCTTCTATCTGCCTGGCACAGGCTGTGGGGCCACCATCCAGCAGGGCCTAACTTTTCTCAAAAGCTGCTTGTTAGAGTTTGGCCTGAAGTCCTAGAGTTCTGTATCATGGAGCAGAGATGGGATGAACGACTTGGTCTGAATGGCTGCAAGCCCACGTGTGAAAGGACCTGAGGGCTTTCCTCTAGTTGAACCTTGTAGTGCACCCCACGGCTGATTGAGGCAGCTGCTGCGGTGGTAACTGTGGTTATGGGATAATAAGGTGGGACACTTTATTTTGGCTGAAATTAGCTAACAGATTGAATTGCTTTTTATTTTTAAAAACTTTTTTTACAGAATACAAAAATGTTTATAGAAATTTTAGCAAGTATAAAGTGTAAAAAATAAAAACTACCCATAATCCCCTTTTCAAAGAGAACCACTGTTAATATTCCAGTGCATTTGTGTCTTTGTGCATATCACATATGCGTGTAAGATAGACATGGGTTGGGACCACGTGGCTGTGGCTTGTCTCTGTTGCTTCTTGGGTCACTCACTCAGCATGGTGGTAGGCCTTATTCAGACCTGGAGTGAGTGGCAGGGAGTTTTTTAAGAACCCAGATGTTTTGATGATGAAGCCTAGTAAGAAGACTGTCGAAGTTGGGTGGGATGTTTTTGAAAAGCTGTCATGGTGCATTGCAAAGAGGTTCTTGGGCATGCAGTTTGCCTTGCAGAGGTCAGGCCTGGCTGAGGCGGTGGGGCTTCCACTGCTGCTGCCTCACCAACATTGCCAGGAGGCAGCAGGCCTGGCTTGTCCTAGCTGAGGGACAGCAGAGCTGACTGGTCCATTATGGCACAGGAACAAGTGGGCTTCCCAAGCACCATACAGTCTGGCAGTGGGCGGGGGGAAGATGAGGGGCCGTGAGCACAGGGCAGGCAGCAAGTTGGAGAATGTTAGGGGCTGCAGATGGGAGTAGATCTGGCTCCCTGGGGAAGTGGGAAAGGGTTGCTTAGGCAGGAAAGAATAATTCTGACAGCTGTGCTTTGTTGGCTATTTACTGTCCTGAGCACCCTGCACATGAAATAAACACAGATGCTCGTAGTAAGCCAACAGGTGCAGATGTAGTATCCTCACTTTACAAATGAACGAACGGAAGCTCACATTGCTCACGGCTAGTAAGTGGAGAAGCCAGGATTTGAGCCTGAAACCAGCTTCACAGAGAGTCTGTTTACCCCAGGCTCCTGGATGAGCGTGTGGGAGAGGGGTGAAGCGAAAGGGGCACCTAGTGGGTGCTGTGGACACCAGAGTGCCCTGCAGCCCACAGAGGGGGTGCTCAGGATTGACAAGCCTCCAAGGGCTACAGCAGCAGCCCTGTTTCGAGAAAGTCCCCATAACCAAGAGATAGGATAAAAGTATGAGAAGTCTCTTGTGCTTGTAATTTAGAGAAATTAAGAAATTTGAACAGTACATTTTTGCATTTTAGTAAAATCTAAGATTGTACAGTTAGTCTGTTCGTTTCCCACAGAATGCCCAGCAGGCAGTCTCTTTTCTCTTAGAAACATCTACCATGCAGGCAGGCCTTCCTCGATGAGTCTGAAATAATGGAGCCCTCTGTGTAAGCCTGTGCTTCTGGCTTCCCTTTAAAGTGAGTCTCATCAAAGCATTTGCCTTGCTGGAATGACAGGAAGGGCTGTGCGTGCCAGAGCTAGTACCTCTGAGGGGACGCTGCATAGGCAGCCAGAGCTGGAGACACAGCTCTGAAACCTGAGTGCCACCACCTGCGGCTTAATGTTCATCAGAGGAGCCTCCTCTCCAGAGGGCTGGAGAGGAAGAAGAATCCAAAGGGAAATCCTGAAGAAGTTTCCTTACCAAAAACTATCCCAAGCTTGTGCCTCAAAGCTTAAAAACCCTTTAAATGTTTGTTTGAAGGGCTACTATGCAGGGAAGGGACGAGACTAGTCCCATGCACCCAACTGGCTAGAATTTATGGAGAAAGTTAGCAGAGAGCTTTCCAAAGATAATAAAATGCGCTGCCTCCTCAACAGGTGGAGAGCCCTGGTCACTAAGTGAGAGGGGAAGGGGAGGGCGAGGGTTGTGCAGATGACATTTTAAGGTCTTTCAGGGAATGAGCCCAATGCCACCTTCTTCCCCAAATGCTCCCAGTTCTTACCCGGTGTGCATGGTAGTGCCTTTCCTGGGAGGGAAACTAATTAGTATTAATAATAAAATGTGGGATTCAGTCTTTAGGGACCTTCCACAAGGTAAATGTCATTCATTCAGTCCCAAGAAATGTTTTGTTAAAACATGAGGAACATTTTGGTCATAAAGAAATTACGTCTTTGTAATTGAAGTCCTATGATTGATACTCTATTTCTTCTGGAAATTTCATCCTGGTCACTAAGCATTACCATGAGTCACACTGCAGGTGATAACCTGAGATGTCTTCTATAACTTCTTAAACATGGGGGGCCATTTGTAGGAAGGTCCAGGGACATCATCTTGGATTACCATAGGTTATAAAATTACCAAAATTATCATGCATCCTGGGAAAACCACCCAAAGTGGACATTACTGGTTCTTTGAAGGACCCGACATATCCACATTCCTCAGCCCCCATGGACCAATTCCATTCACAATTGAATTGATCCTTAAGTTCCTCAGACTTAAAAACTCAAGGATGGCTGGATGGCAGTTAAAAACAGATGTAAAGCCTTCCACAAACTTCTCGAGGAAGAAAAGGATGGTTGAGGCCAAGCTGAGCTGGGTGGTGACAGGTCCATCCGCGCCTCTGTTCTACAGCCCTGGTGGCAGCAGCTTTGAGAGGGTCCTGAGACCGTGCCATGCTCTCAGGCCAGCTGCGGTGGCCGTGGGTCCTGAGCCTGCCTCTCAGCACTTTGTCTCAGCAGCCATGGCGCAGGCAGTCACACATTGAGAATCCGGGGAGCCGAAGCCTGAAAGATGGCTGAAGGGTTAGGAGTGAACTTCTTCCTCACCTCAGGGACCTGAAAAGTGAAATGTGGCCACGTATCAATGGGCTTTTTCCTTAACTACCCCTCGCCCCAGCTCCAGGAAGACATTTCCTCCTCGTTGTCCTCCAGGAGTTACGACTGCTAACCCGAAGGGTGAGTGGGGGAGAGTTACAGTGAGCAGTTGTCACTGCATTAGCAGGTCATTGGCACGCAGACTTCCCATTCTGCTCCCGGAAGCCACCTTTGGGTGGAACTGGGAAGCCAAACAGCCTCCACCTCCTTCCATCTTCTCTTCCCACTTACACAAATGCTTGGGTATTTGGAATGGCCAAGGGTAAGACTAGGATTTAAGAGGCAGAGCGATACCCTGCTCACCGACAAAGCCGAGCTTAGAGGAGCACCCACCTGGCTCGTGACAAGAAGTACCTTGGTTTTCTCTTGGGGACGATTGGTTGGGCACTGCTGTCGCTGGCCATATGCCATTTTAGACCATCAAAATCTGACTCCTAATCCCTAGCCTGGGTAAGGGCCTCTGTGCCCACACCCCCTGGCTGACCTGGAAGCTGGCCCCAGGGCTGCTGTCCCATCCGGATGTGTGGGTAGTGATGATTCTGGCTGGTTTTGCCTTTGTGGATCTTGAGGGTTTCACTGCAGTCCAAGCCTGGAACTCTTGCCTGGAATAGAGAACACAAGTCAGAACCTGGCACAGGTCAGCCATCCCCTCCCCTGACCCCTCAGGGGCCACTGCCCTGCCCTTGCTTCTTGGAATGTCATGACCCTGTCACTACTGAGCTGCTTCAGCTCCCGGTAGTCCTGTGTCTCCCTCACAAAGAGCACGGAGCACAGGTGCACTCCTCAGACAGGCAGCGCAGCTCGGGAGCATGCGGTCCACGGCTGCCCTGCCCTTCACCTCTGAGTGCTCCCCAGGGAAGTCTGGGCTCACCCTGTCTCCCAAGGCAGCAGGAGAGGAAACTTACTCAGGGCAGAGCTCAGCACCTGGGTCTCAGAGCCAGCACGCCCCAGCACGCTCTATACTGTCTCCAGGACCCCCTGAAATTCCTCTGCAGCTGCTTGCCCAGAAGCCAAGCCATTTTGAGGGGCCCCAGAGGCCCAGAACCAGTGAACGTCTGTTGCGTCCAGCCCAGGTCACTAGTGGCCACTTATGTCCAGAGGAGGTGCCAAGCTGGACAGCACCTGGCACGGCCAAGGTCCTCTGTACTTGGTTATGACTGAAAAGAAAACTAAGGCTCAGTATTCCGTTAGTTTTTTTTATACTTCTTAACTCACACAAAAGGATGAATTGTAGTGACCATCTGAAACACCTATTATAAAAGATGGTCTGGCTTTTGCACAGCTCTGCGTGCTGGAGAGCGCGGATCCCTGCTCTCGCATGAGCATTCGGGGAGGGAAGTTGGGCTGATGGGGGAAGACTGGCCCCCTGGAGGGAAATGACAAGGCTGGCACAACCTAGCTCCAGGCCCTGGGAGTAGCTTTCTCAGCGAAAAGACTGACTTCCTCTATTTCTCTGACAAAAGAGACCTCTTTTGTCTGCCAACTCCCCTGCTAGATGGTGGGCTCAGGAAGGCAGAGACCCCTGTGTCCACAGGAGCACCTGGCCGAGGTGACGTGGAAAAGCATCCAGCTGGCCAGGGCCCCAACCCACATGTGCCCTGGGTTGTTCTTTGTTGCTTTAGGCCCTGAGGTCAACAAAGCTGCCTTTTCTTGGCAGCAGCACAGCTGGGGCACCACTGGGCAGCGAGCGGCGGTGTCTGTCCGTGGCCAGCACTCTGGGATGCTTAGGGTGCCAGGAGGAGAGCTGGGCCAGGGCCCTATCAGGTGATTTTTGCTTCTGAAGCCACAAGGTTGTAGAGACCAGCTGCCCAAACCATCTGCTGCTCTGCTTCTCCTGGGAAAGCAGGTCCTCCCCTGGGCGTGCCCTTCTGTTCCCAAACCACATCTCATGGCTGAGCTGAGCCTTGGGCCTGGCAGCCTGAGCCTGCTCCCCTGAGGTGGCTGTAGGGGTCCCAGGACAGGAAGTGACCAGAGCCACCTGCTAGAGCAATAACTGTGGCTGTCGGAGGAGGGGCCCAGGTCAGAGGGGGCTGCAGGGGCAATAGAGAAGGGACATCAAAGATGGAATCAGCAGGGCCTGGTGACTGCCCAGGAGAGGAGGACGACAGACTAATGGCTCAGGCCAAGATTAGTAAAACATACAGGCCTTGCTGTGCCTCCCTTGGCAGTGCTCCACCTGTGCTCCAGCACCCTCCACCTCGTGGGCCTCAGCTGCATCCTGAGGGCTGCGATCCCTCCCGCTGAGGGGCAGGGGCTACTTGGGGTAACGCAGGGAACCCTGGATGGAGGATCAGGAGGGCTGGGTTCTCGGCCCAACATGGCTTCAGATAAATTCATTAACTTTTCTGAGCCTCACTTTCTTGTGAAAAGGGGGGCTGCTGATCCGTGTGCATGAGGTTATTGTGTGGAACTTGGGTTAGCCCTTTAACCGACCTTCCTAGGGAGGAAGGCGGGAAATGACCAAGGAGCTAGGGACTTGTCCTCCAGAAGCAGGTGGGGCCAGAGCCTGGGCCAAAGGCACTGAACAGCCCAGAGAGCAGAATTCCCAAGGGGAGGCTCTGGGAGGAACTGGTCAGGAGGAGGGGCCCGGGCGGCCATGGGCAGGACCGACTGCCTACCTGGCCAGGTGAGCAAGGCAGGGCAGCCATCACGTGGAGACCTGAAGCCAGGAGACCTGCTGGGGTGGGGAGGTTGAGCACTAGGGGGTCTCCGGAACTCAAGGACTCTGGGTCAGGAGTGGCCACACGTCTACTCTCCTATCTTTTGGGTTCCTGGATCTGTTCATTCTCTTGGCTCTCTGAATTTAACGTTTGCTTAGATGATGTGCATCTTGCAGAATGGAAGGCAGATGGGGTTGCTCATGCCAGGTCCCAGAGCTAGAGGTGAGGGTTCCAGAGGCCCGCTGGCATGGCCCTGGGGGGAGCCAAGTTCAGTGGTGATCCTGTGTTTCTGCCCATGCTGGGCGGGGGGCGGTCAGCAGGGGTCTGGGAAGCCAAGCTCTTGCTATTCCTGTTTTACAGATGAGGACAGGGTCAGTGAGGCTGAGTGATACCCTCACCCCAAGTTTATACACCAGGAAGTGAGAGCTCCCCTGAGCCCCAGCTCCTGTTACTGCTTTTCCATCGGTTGCTTCAGGACACAGTTCAAGAAACTGAGTCTGAGGAGGCAGCTCTTATGGGATGATAACCTGTAGGGGCTACAGATTTGGTCTCTGAGCAAGGCAGACTCGGGTTCCACTCCCTTCTCTGCCGTTCGGAGCAGCGCCGGCCACTCAGTTTCCTCCCGTGCAGAATGGGCACAGTGATCGCTGAACACAGGCCTCAGGGCATACCAAGCCTGGTGCCGGGGACGTGCTGAAGCAGAGAAAGCAATAACTGGCACCTTTACTCTCACCGGAGCTGTGAGGACCCGGCAGGATGTTCGAACTCACCACGCGCTCCGCACAGGCGAGGGACCACTTCTCAAAGCTCAGCCTTTGCCAGCACATCCCAGTGAAGAGCTCGGCACATAAGAGGCAGCTCACTCCGCATCCGGGAGTTCTAACTGGTCAAAAGGGCTTCCTTCCCGAAGCTGAAGCTTTCTCCCTGCAAGTTCCACCCCTTGTCCTGTTCTGGCCTCTCGACATCAGCCATTGGAAGACACAGCATGCCCAGGACCTCTGGCCTTCCAGCCCTCCCGCCATTCAGGGCCCTCCAGCTGGTCCAGGTCCCCATCATGGGCAATCAGACTTGGGCGGGCCTGGCCATGGCCGGCGCGCCGTGCCTGCGTCTGCTCTGCCAGCTGCAGTTGGCTCAGCTTGAGCACGTGTGGGTGAGCGCCAGACCCACCCTGCGGCCGCGGCCCCCATCAAGTTCCGTAAGAAGGGCACACCCACGAAGGAAGCTCCTTGGGAGATGGAATTCTCTGAGTCTTGATAATGGTGGCCCAGGTGGCTAGATTTGTCAAAAGTCATGAGCTATACTCACTATTTATAATGGGTGAATTCTACACTATGGAAAGTATGCCTTGATGCAGTTGGTTTTTTAAAAAAATAAATCGGGAGAAGTTCATACTTTTCGGCTCTTTAATTCCACAGGTAGGAATTTATCCATAAGAAATTATGGTATGGACAAAGATTTAGCTACAAGGATGCTTATCACTGAAGTTATTTTTTTCTTCAAAAAAATTTTTTTAAAAGGGTAATACATGTTAAAAAAACAAAACAAAACAGTGGTTCAAAAGGGTAAAGTGAGAAGTTTCCTTCCACCCCTGACAGCCCCCATTGCTCCCCAAGTTGCTCTCTCCAAAGCTGCCATCTCCTGTATTCACTGGAGAGACCTGTGCTTAGTTGAGCATGTGTGTGTATGTTATGTCCTTTCTAAAACACAAATAGCATACACGCTGTTCTGCGCCTTGCTTTTGTGACATGTACATATTTAAGATCTCCTGTTACCAGTGCCTGCAGGGCTTCAGTGTCCCATCCCATGGCAGTGCTATCATTAACCAGTCCCCTGCATCAGTAGGACAGCAGGTTGTGTAAGGTGGTTGTACCGTGTTGTGATGTACCTTATACCTTGAGCTCCCACCCCCTTCTAGGATACCCGTGGGGAAAATTCCTAGAAGCGAAACAGCTGCATCAAAGGAATAGCGCTTTCAATAGCCCCGAATTAGAAACACCCTACAAGTCAACGAGGGAGTAGATAGATAAGTAATATTTGAAGATGTATATTCATAGGATAAAAATACTGCACATTTATTAAAATTCATCATGTAGAAGAACGTCTAGTAACAAGGACAGACATCCGCAATAGGTGAAAAATAACATGTACAGTAGAAGTCTAACCACGTAAAAACACTCAAATGCTATGTACTCAAGTGCACATTAAGGATTAGAAAGAATGACTAGTTCGGGGAAGAATTAAGGGGATATTTGTTTTCTTTGCTGTAATTTCTACAATTACCTATTTTCTACAGTGAGGATGAACTACTTTTGTAATAAGAAAAAAAGAAGCCCTCAGTTGCCCAGGAGCAGAGCTGGGGTGGGGGGCGGCGAGGACCCGCAGACCTGTCCCCCGTGAAAGCCGAGTCGACAGCCCTCAGTCGCTCGGTGGGATCCTGAAGGGCCACCCGCGCGGGACCTGCGCTCGGTCCTCACGACCAACGCCCCCACAAAGGGCACTGACCAGAGGGAGCCGGGGGTTGGCCTGCGCGCACCCCGCCTGAGGCTAGGCCCACCCGGCGGAAGTTAAAGGGAAGCAGATTTCAACTCAGTTGAAGGCAGGCCGTTCTGACAAGGCTGCCCGAGAAGGGAGCAGGCTGTGAGCGAGGCAGTGAGCTCCCCGTCAGTGGAGGTGCTCGTTCACTCAGAGTCTGGGCAGGAGCAGCGAAAGCGGCGCCTGCAGTGCCCAGGCACCAAAGGGGGTGACCTCTGAGGCCGCCTGCAGCTCTCGAGGTCGTGTGGGATCCGGCTCCGGGCTGCAGGCTCCTCCCGGCTCCGGGCCTCGGTGTCCTCCCACCACGGGGTCCGGACTCCATGCATCCGCCAGCCAGCCCCATACCTGTACGATGTGGTCGCTGCTGCGGCCGCGTCCGCGTCGCCGACGGGCAGCACGTAGACGCCACGGGCAGCGGGCGCGGGGGGCTTGCCCCTGCGGCCGCCCGCCCCCGGCCCGCGCCCCTGAGGCGCATCCCTGGGCACCGCGGGCGCCGTCCACACGCCGAAGTCCCGCTGGTACTGAGTGAGCGGCACGTCCCGGCCGGGGGCCCGGTCGCCTGCCGGGGACTGGCCCCTGCGCGAGGCGGCGCCGCCCGGGCCGGGCTCCTCGTTCTCGAGGTCCGAGTAGCCGTGCAGGGTCAGCGGCACAGCCACGTCGGAGCGGTCCAGCTGGTTCCAGCGCCGCGCCAGGCAGCACAGGCGGCTGATGCAGGGCCACGCCATGCCGGCCCCGGCGCCCGCAGCTCGGCTCCCCGCACTCCCGGCCGCGCCGCCCCCGCCCGGCGTCCCCGCCCCCGCGGCCCTCCCCGCGCCGCCGCAGCGCCGCCCCTGGCCTGGGAGTGGGGGGACACCCCGGGAGCCGCGGACTCGCTGGCAGCACCGCGTGGCCGGGCCGGCTGCGAGCGGCTGGAGCGGGACACCAGCCGGAAAGCGGGGACAGGGGAAAGATTGCAGTCACCAGGGAGCACCTGAAACGGCCTGCAGCCATTTACAAGTATCCAACTTGAAGGATGTCTCATTAGGAATCCCACGTTCCCCAAATGTTTCTTATAAATCGACCCGGCTTCGCAGAGGCCGAGGGCCAGATGGCGACAATTCCTAGCTAATCGCCCTCGGCCAGCAGCCAGACGCAATCAGCCGGCCGCGTCCGGGAGGGTCTCTGCTTGGTTGCCGCCGGGCGACTGGTGCATTTGTGCTAGGGCTGCACTGCGGGGACCCAGTGGGCACGAAGGGAGGTGCAGCCAGGAGGGTATCAGAGGGAACACCGGGCCATGCTTCCCAAAGAACACGAGTTTGAATCAGCCTGTTAGTCATCGCCTATTTGCCTCTCCGATGCTAGTCGTGACGACTAGTCGTGATGCTAGTTCTGACAACCAATCCAGTTTTCATTAAGAATTGGCGTTAGAGGCCGGGCGCGGTGGCTCACGCCTGTAATCCTAGCACTCTGGGAGGCCGAGGCGGGAGGATCGTTTGAGCTCAAGAGTTCGAGACCAGCCTGAGCAAGAGTGAGACTACTATAAATAGAAAGAAATTAGCCAAACAACTAAAAATAGAAAAAAGTAGCCGGGAATGGTGGCGTGTGTCTGTAGTCCCACCTACCCGGGAGGCTGAGGCAGAAGGATTGCTTGAGCCCAGGAGTTTGAGGTTGCTGTGAGCTAGGCTGACGCCATGGCACTCTGGCCCAGGCAACAGAGTGAGACTCTGTCTCAAAAAAAAAAAAAAAAAAGAATTGGCGTTAGCAACCAACTGATCTTTCCCTGGTTCTAAAATCCCAAACTTTGAAGCATGGCCCCAAAGGCTTAAGCTTTATAAAGCTGTCACAAAACTTTGGCCACTGTGCTATAAAGTTCCTTTCCCTCCTGTGCATGCATTACTTTTAATGCAAAGCTACGTTTGAATAATCCTCCAGATTAAAGGTCAGTCTGTTTAATGCAGGACAGGGTATCAGAAACGACTCCCTGACCACCCTCGAAAGGCTTTGAGTATTTGACACATGCACTCAATATGCACTGCAGACCAACTACTAATAACACTATTGTAACGACATGAATGACCCAGAGCTCCATCTCTAGGCTACACTAGGAAGGTATCCAGTCAGCACCTCAGAGGAAAGGACTGCAGTACAGCCCTGGCCAGCCAGAACACAAACTCATCTCCCAAAACATTGCTGGTCTTAGTTTAAAGTCATATCAAAGTGTCGGCAGCAGGTCAGCTGAGCAGGCCAGGTGCTGACCTGGCAGGCAGCAGGAGGGAAGCCAGGTGCACGGTGAAGACACCGGAAGGCGACACACCAGCGCTGCAGGTCCAGAACAAGCTGCCTTTGTCTGTAAACTGGGTGTGCCCGGGCCCTGGGTTAGCCAGCCTGGCAGATGATGCTTGGTGACTGAAATACTCTGCTTTGCAGGAAAAAAAGAGCAGCTCTCTTTTTATTGCTTCTTTCGTCAAACTATGTGTGAGGAATAACGCTGGGTGCCTTCAGGAGGTTTAGTGTGATGGCAACAGACACGGAAAAACGTCTAATAGGACTGATAAAGCCAGGACAGTGTGAGGAGGGACAAGGGACAGGGAAGGCTGCACTTGCCACCTGTCACAAGGGAAAGTGGTTGAACTGGTGGGAAGGCGGGGCACAGGGATGAGGGTTCTGCCAGAGGTAGCGGAGACCAAACCATGGAGGGCCTTGGTGGCCACACTAAGGAGCTTAAAAGTTTTTCATAAGTGACAACATGGAATGACAAGTGTTTTTAGCACGCTGGCAGCCACGTGAAGAAGTACAAGGACACCTTAGAGACCAGCTGGAAGAACAGTCCTCACAGTCCAGGGACTGGGGACATGAGGGACGACACTAAGGCACAGGCACTGGGTGTGGAGAGGAGGGGCTGGATTCTGGAAGGAAGAGGCCAGATAGGGAAATCTAGAACGGCTCCTGGTTTCTGGCTTCAGTGATTGGAGACATCACTCCTTAAGCCAAGAGTGATATTTGAGGTACAGTGCAGTGGGGTCCCAGCACCTGGAACCACATGCGCATTGCAGTAGATACATTTACTAAATTACGGTCCAGAGACATTCAGTGGGCCTGGAGCGGAGAAAGCACCCCAACACAGACAACTGAAGCCACAGCAGGTGCACCCACTTGAGAAGTGCATGCAGAATGAGGCAAGACAATGGCCAAGGGTGCATTCCTGGGGACCCCACACTTAAAAAGCCCCCGAGTGAGGGACAGATGGCCTTGGTGGCAGTGGTCCAGTGTCAGCAGGGAAGCCAAGATGAGAAAATAGAATACCCTGGTGGGCAACTAGGCCAGTGGGCCCATTGCCAAAGCCGGGAACAGCAAGGCTTGTGCAGCCAGAGCGAGGCTCTCATCTCCCAAGGCCACTCCCGGGGAAAATGGTACTTGGTGGTACAGAGGCTCCAGCATAAAGGATTTTATAGACAGGGAAGTGCTTCAGGGACTTCTAAACACTCCTCTATCACAAAGCAGGGACAGAAGAAATGTCTTCATTGCCTCTTCCCCTGCTCTGCCCAAAGCAAAATATGAATTTAATTTTGGACCCTATGGGGACTGTCCATGTGAACTCAGCCTCCAATCCCATCTCTGGAAAACATATCTTGCCTCATCTCTACGTCACAGGGTTGTTGGCATGACACATTCAGAAATGTTAGAGCAGCCGGGCGCAGTGGGTGGCTCACACCTGTAATCCCAGCACTTTGGGAGGCTGAGGAGGGAGGATCACTTGAGCCCAGGAGTTGGAGGTTACAGTGACCTATGATCACTCCACTACACTTCAGCCTGGGCAACACAGTGAGACCCTGCCTGTCTCCCAAAAAAAAAAGAATGTCAGGGTCTCTCCTTGCAGCAGCTGCACAAGAGCAGTGGGAGCTGTGGTGGAGGGAGTCATGGCAGGACAAGCATTTAGAAAATTTCTTCTGCTTTTTGACCGAGTATGGGTTGGAAGGAGTATAGGGGAAACTAACCGAAGGAGGCATTATCCTCCAGAAAAATCTCAAGGAAAAGTATTGCAAGCAACAATAGTGGCTGCTGGATTGGGCTCTAAAGGAAAGGGTGGAGAGATGCAACCAGTCAGTGTGAAAGTTGGAGATAAAGTTCTTTTCCCAGCATGTGGAGGCACCAAAGTCGTTCTAGATGACAAGTATTATTTCTTATTTAGAGATGGTGACATTCTTCGAAAGTATGCGGACTGAAATAAATCACTATTGAAATGGCATCGACACGGAGCTGCCCATTCCCCTGAAGTTCTGAAATCTCTCACCATGTACATTTCCATGTCTCTTTTGTAATAAACTAACGATACCTAAACTGCTGACATCCAGTGTCTAAAATCTAGTTTCACTGCAGTGATACAAACATTTCCAAATAAAAATATGTAAATAAAAAAAAAAGAAAAATGTCAGAGCCAGGCAGTGTGACCTTGGGCGGTGCTCCCATCTCACCTCCCCTGTTTCCTTACTGGCAAAATGAGGGCTGGATTACGACATTTCTCTCTCCTAGAAGTGATACTAGTTTAGCATAGAATCGTGTGCCCGGCAAGAATAACTGGAACTTCACAGTAGAGACGAGTCCAGCTGGGTGGAAACGGGTAGGAAGAACTGCCGAATGCTGGGCAATTTCTGTGCTGCTGGGCGTGTGCTGCCGTCCGGTTCCCCACCTGGGGAGGTGGGACGACTCGCACGCCGTTTCGCCAAGCCCAGCGCTCAGATCGCCGGTGGTGCGCAAGCTGAGGTGAACTGACCAGACACGGCTCACATCTGGGCCTTCGCTCCCCCTCAGTGCAAAGGCGCAAGATTTGCTATAACATTTTCTGACCACCAAAAGACTGAAAACTCTCCTGTAAATCCTTTCAAGAAAAAGAAACTCTCAAATCGCATTTCTAGACATAATTCTCAATCGTGAAGACGTCGAGTTCTACTATAGAGAGGCTGTGATGATGACCACGGTGTGCTATTTCAGTAAGATTTTTCAATTGGAATGTACATTTTGAGACATAAGATGCAATTTGGCTCAGATTCACTTCTGAATTTATCCAAGTCACTTCCTTCTACTTCTTAATTTATCTACAATTTTAACCTAGAAAGCAAAACTTAAAAATAGCTTTTTGTATATGCCACTCACTGCCAGAAATCATTACCTTTCTTGGGAAAATTTAGAAAATACTGCAGCTGTTACTTCAGATCGTGCCAGAGAGAAGATACTGTGCCTTTTTTGGAGGGCGGGGGGGTGGAGGGTCTTCTGGTGAGGACTGGAAAACCTGCTAGACAGATTCCCAAGGAGCTGTAACACCGGGAAAGGGGTAGGTGAGGACTGAGGTGCTGAGAGCCCGTGGACAAACGCCAGCACCTCAGCGTTTTGATCAGGCCTTTCACCGTGCACTCTGCCCAGGTCCCCGGCTCAAACTATGTCAATGTAACAACCAAAAGCAAGATGCCAGAGAAGCATTCGTGCTCTTAAAGAGAAAACACACACCCTCTGCTTACAAACTAGAGATATAAACCTTTATTTCCAACTTTGTCATAATTCACTTTCTAGTAAGACATGGACTGGGGGACACAGTTTAAATTGCTGGGAGGCCAGGTGCCGGTGTCTTCCAAGCAGGAGCACAGATGTGGTCACTCCAGGGCCCAGGTGCTCCTGGGGGCTCCCAGGCAGCACAGCCCGGATGCACCAGTACTGTCCAACCCCAGTTTCACTTAGAGCCACCTCCTTTTTTGGGGCCATTAGTCCTCATTTCATGCCAGATTTTCACTAGAGGCTCCCTGTTCTTCCAAATGAGTTCATGACCATAAGTAACATACCATCTGGAGAAAAAAACAAACCAGGTCCGACATTTAAATAGTGTAACATACAAATGGTAAGTACTATGATGATATCAAGTTGACATTTTTAAAATCGAATGCCACTGTCATTTTACTATGTAGCTTATTAAAACAACCAACTTATTTCATGTAGATAAATGATTTAGCTTTAATATATAGAGTATGTAAAAGTTCTAAGTAGGATTTGATGATGGCTGAATGCTCTGAAATGTGTCAGTGGTTCACATATACTTTATTCACCACTACCCTGCAAGTTAAGTATCACTTTTCCCATTATACACATGAGGAAACCAAGTCTGAAGGAAAGTAATCTGCCCAAGGACTCACCCACAGGCCAGCCTGACTGGATGTTCTGAAATGTCACACAGGACTTGCTAATGATGGGTGCAACAGCTTGCACGCCTCCTGACAGCTTCCAGCCAGCTACACAAAGGGTGGGCTGCTCGTCTACGTTCTGCCCACCTTTTGAGATGAACAGTTCCGATCCCCCTTCTCCTGTTCAAAACTGTCTAAAAGCAGCATGAAGCAATGAGCCAAGACGGCAGAAGCGCTGAGAGGTTTAGTAAATTCACTGGCTCAGTCTCCACAACTAGGAATCACTAGACTGAAACTAGAACCCAAAACTGACTCCGAAGCCTGTGCTCCAACCAGTGTGCGTTTAGGGAGCATCTCCCATGAGCCGAGACTGAGGGCCTGTCTTTCAGGCGCCCGGCTCTCTACCCAAGGGCAGCACAGGCTGCAAGCGGAACTTAGGCGGCACCCACCTCCCCTCAAGGACAGGGTGGAGGCTGGAAAGGCTTCCCAGAGGACAAGGGGTTGATTGGAATGGCAGTTAATGAAAGCTTTTATTATGGAAATCTTCATTTTTGTCCTGGTGTTCCCAAGCAGATTTCATGTTCCCAGAGGCAGAGACTAGATTTTGTTGATCTTGCATCTCCCAGAGCATTGAAAAATGCTCTGTTTGACTTCGATTGTATAGCTGTTAAATGTTTTAACATTTTTTAAATGTTCTAAACATGTATTTTTTTTATTTTGAAGGGATTTAGGGCAGGCACAATGGCTCACGCCTTTAAGTCTAGCACTTTGGGAGGCTGAGGTGGGAGGATTGCTTAAGGCCAGCCTAGGCAACATAGTGAGACCTCATCTCTACCAAAAAAAATATTTGTACCTGAAACTTAATATTCAGTAAATATAATTAAATTCTGATTATGAAAATAGTTACCATTAAAATCTTGAAAAATAAAGAAAATCCCAAAGAAAATATTCAGTAAATTTATAGAAAAAGGCATTTAAAAAATGCAAATTAATTAACAGGCCTGTAACAAAATTCTTTGTGCTTACAGTAAAATTATCTGGTGAATTTAGAACAAGATAAAAAGGATCACCCTAAGATTCAAATGCAATTGTAAAAATTCTCACAAGAAATGAATCACTAGTCAGGAACTCTCTCATTAATAAAGTGTCTTCCCAAATCTTTTTTTTTTTTTTTTTTGAGACATAGTCTCACTCTGTTGTCTGGGCTAGAGTGCCATGGCATCAGCCTAGCTCATAGCAACCTCAAACTCCTGGGCTCAAGCAGTCCTTCTGCCTCAGCCTCCTGAGTAGCTGGGACTACAGACATGCGCCACCATGCCCGGCTAATTTTTTCTATATAGATTTTTAGTTGTCCAAGTAATTTTTTTCTATTTTTAGTAGAGAGGGGGTCTCGCTCTTGCTCAGGCTGGTCTCGAACTCCAGAGCTCAAACGATCCACCCGCCTCCTCGGCCTCCCAGAGTGCTAGGATTACAGGCATAAGCCACCGCGCCCGGGCCCTAATTTTTTTTTTTTTAGACAGAGTCTGGCTCCATTGCCCTGGGTAGAGTGCAGTGGTGTCATCATAGCTCACAGCAACCTCAAACTCCTGTGCTTAAGGGATTGTCCTACCTCAGCCTCCTGAGAAGCTGGGACTACAGGTGTGCGCCATGACACCCGGCTAATTTTTCTATTTTTAGTAGAGAAGGGGTTTTACTCCTGCTCAGGCTGGTCTCGAACTCCCCACATAAAGCGACCCTCCTACTCGGCCTCCCAGAGTGCTAGGATTACCTGCATTTGCCACCACACTCGGCCCTTCCCAAATCTTTTAAACGTACTTATTTCAAGCAAAGAGTCAAACACTTTAATCTTACAGGTATACTGTTCAGATTTTACTTGTAAATCCAAATGTAATTGGTTGTTTGGCTAAACTAAAATTAGCAATACTTCGAAATGACTAATGTCAGAGGGACCCCTTTCTGCAGCAGCAGCAGCCTAACAATCCAGTGCTTAGTCCAGCTCTGCAATTATTAGCTGTGTGACCTTGGACAAGTTACTTTCTTTAAGGGGTTTCCTTATCTGTAAAATGCAATACTTCACAGGGTTGTAAGAATATTAAATCAGCCCTTCCCTCATAGAATTCTACGAGAATCAAAGTCCTTAGGATAGGCACACAGCAAACATTCAACATGTGTTAGCTATTATTATTGCAACACTATAACAGGAAGACTGTAAGATTTGGTCAGAAACAAAGTCAGGGAAATGTGCAAGTGGATACTAAAGGAATCTTTACCATCAACAAAATCAGGGCACTTTAACTAAAAAAAAAAATTTAGATTTCTAAATCTAGATTAAAGATGTTAGAAAAGATGAATTCTGGATATGACTGAGATCTAGTAAATGAAAAGGAGTTGAAATTAGAAACAGCAAAGAGAAAGGATTCCTCTGCCTTTCAGATCCCGGACTTTAAAATGCATTTGATCCAATTATTTTCAGAATGGAAAAAAGTCATCGAATTATAGTTCAGAAGAATAAAAGCCTGCTGGGGAGAAGACCCTTGAAGTATACATGGAAGGATCTAGATAAATTTAGAGCTCATAAAGCAGAACCCCTTTTCGTAAGTCTTTGTGTATCTCATATGGTAATATCAGGTCAGTTTCTACTATTTATAATGTGCTGCTGTTAAAGCTAGAACTCACATATGCTATTCTTTAATCATCACCGAAAATTATAAATGGCATAATGGCATTTAGTCCTGCCGCCTACTGGGCAAAACTGCTTAACTTAGAATAGATTTTTCTATTTTTTTAATTAAATAGGGGGCAGAGGGAGAGACGGGTGACCCGAGGAAGCAGATTAGCAATCAATTTTTAATTAGAAAACCTAAGTTTCCCACTGTCCTGAAACAAAGTAAAAACCAAGTAAGGTCAAAAGGCAACATTTATGCAAGAAAAATAGGCCATTGGGGATCCAGCACATCAGACAGCAACAGCTCTGCTGAAGGGGCATGGTCAGATGGGCTCTAGGAGTCCTGAGGATGTTTCCACCATAGAGTTGCTTCTAAACTACTAGGTTTGAAGCAAAATCCTGTTGTCTGAAGCACAAATAGAAGCTCTTGTAACCACAGTGCCAGCTGTATTCAATATGGTGTGATGGGGGCGGGAAGGGCTCTGGGTCTGGCTTTAAATCTCTGCTATTTAAGAGTTGCTTGGTGTGGGGAAGTTCACTTCTAAGCCTCGGTTTCCCATCAGTAAAATGGGAGTAATAACAGTATAATGCAAGGTAACTAGCTTGGTGCCTGAATATAACACATGCTCAGTAAGTGGTCCACGTTGGCTTATGTCCCTGGCTTCTACTCCAGTCACGCGCAGCTTTCGCCCACATTCAATGCAGGCAGAGAAATGGTGCCACCAACTCAGCGTGTCTGCATGGCACTGGTGAGACAGAGGTCAGTGGCAGCAGGGTGGGACGCCAGGCAAGAACGCCTGAGTGGGGGGGGGGGGATGACAAGACAGACTGGGGGCCATGCAGCAGTCTCTAAGAAGGGCTAGGAATGATGACAGGTCAGGAACTGGGGTGACTTAAGCTAAGCTTAAGGGTAAGCAAAACACAGACTTTCCTTCTACAAATGACCAAGGCAGGGGCAGGGCTGATAGTCTCACATCCCACCTCACCTGGTGAAACTAGGCAAGGCCAAAAGCATGCCATGTTGAGGTTTCTTCACACTCCCAACCCTACCTGTTCCTGCTTCCATCACACGGCTAAGTGTCTGACTCTGCCTTCCAGAGGGGGCAGAGGGAGAGACGGGTGACCCGAGGAAGCAGATTAGCAATCAATTTGCTCAAACTTACATTCCAAAGAGAGCTCCCCCAAGATGTGCTGCATGATCAAAAAATTTCCATCCCAGGATCATCCCCACTGTATCCATGGCAATAATGGCTTTCAGGGCCTGAAAGACAGCAAGAGAGAACAGAAGTGGTACGACTTTGATTTCCCTATTACTGACATTTCTAACGTAAGGGCAAGAATTCGGTCAACGTAGAAACATCACCACTGTCTCTAGAACTTCACTTCATAAAAATACTTACATTCCCTGCTGTGAAGGTGAACATCGGAAGGAAGATAATGGCGAGCCTCCCTTCTGGGATCTTAGTGCAGACAGCTGCGAGGACGGTCATGATTGCACCAGACTGCAAAGTAACACAGTGAGGACAACAGGAAACTCAATGTGCAACTGCTTAGTGGCTACAATGTCTAAAGGAGTGGCACTTTTTCTTAAAAGTTTGTATGCCACATGTTTCTAGGTGAGCACAAAGCTTAAAAGCTTTCAGTTACAAATGTACACAATATCAGGCAAAGGGGTGCCAGGTCCCTCACACGGTAATTGGAAGACTGAACTTTCATTACAGGCCAACAAGATGTGTAACAACCAGCATGTGAGTGCTTCCTGAACTTCAAGGATAGCACTAAGTGCATCACAAGCATCATTTCCTATACTGTCTAAGAAAGAACTTCTCAAACTTCTCCAACAAAGCTCCTCCAACTGGAGAGAGTGAGCATGAATTTGCCCAAAGAAACCCACATACATGGAATTTCTTTCCTTCAAATACTTGCATCCTACACGTAGTGTCATAGGCACTACGCTAGATGCTAGGGATACAGAGGAACAAGACCTACAGTCTCTGCCTTCATGGAGCTCATTGCATGACAAGAGAGACATGTAACAGAGACAAGTAAGTAAAAACAACAAAATATGGTGAGTTACAATGAGGAAGTACACCATGCTATGACAGTACATGGAAGGGAGAGCTAATGTCAGCACAAGGCAAGTAAGTGACAGCAAGCTTTGCATGGAAGGGTGACCAGGTGCTGGCCAGGTAAAGGAGGAAGAGAAGGGAAGAGTGTTCTAGGCAAAAGAACAGCATAAACCAAGGCTGGAGGTCAATGAGCACAGCATGGTGGAGAAGCACAAAGAAGTGAGTGTGGCTTGAGTGTGGAGTGCGGCTGATGAACAGGCAGAGAGTGAAGGGAGGCAGGAGCTCTAACTTAGTTTGTTCTCTACCCAATTTCATAGCAGAGAAAATCTTAGTCACCTATTAAAAATAATAAAACTCCCATGAAGGACATTCTACAAAATACCTTCCTGCCATTCTTCAAAATTATCAAGGTCGTGAAGGACGAGGAAAGACTGAGAAACTGTCACAGATTGGAGGAGACTAAAAAGGCAGCATAATTAGAGGCAATGTAGCATACTATATAAAAGGATATGGGAAGACTGGGGAAATCCCAATATAGTCTGTAGTTAATGGTACTAATTCCATGTTAATTTCCTAGATTTGGTAGGTGTGGTGGGTCACACCCCATAATCCCAGCACTTTGGGAGGCTGAGGCAGGAGGATCGCTTAAGGCCAGGAGTTCAAGATCTGCCTGGGCAACATAGCAAGACCCATCTCTACAAAAAATAGAAAAATTAGCCAGGCATGGTGGCATGCACCTGTAGTCCCAGCTACTCAGGAGGCTGAAGCAGGAGGATCACTTGAGCCCAGGAGTTTGAATCTGCAGTGAGCTGTGATCATGCGACTACACCCCAGTGTGGGCAGTACAGTGAGACCTTGTCTCTAAAAAAAAAAAAAAAAAAAAAAAAATTCCTAGATTTGATAAGTGAGCCATGGTTATGGAAGATGTTAACATTAGGGAAAGCTAGTAAGATGTAATTGCACCCTTTACCCTTGCAACAGCCATCATAGTAAAATCAATTCAAACTAGAATAATCAATGAATGCTATTTCAAGGTAGGTTGGGGGGGAAGCTAATGAACAGAATGATTACATAATTTCAAAGTATCTTGTCATAAATTATTAATTTACAAAGGGAAAATACATTTATAGCAGAGAAGCTGGACAACACTTTAATCATTGACCAAAGTTATCCCCACCAGTCAGGGGCAAATAGACATCGTGTGCCTCTAGCTGTGATATCTGAGGACAAAATATCACTTATGTAACGTTCCAACCAAACGCACATAATCTGAATCTAATCATGAGGAAAGAGACAAACCCAGCTGACAAACATTCTATAAAATAACTGGCCTGCATTGTTGAAACTGTTGATGGCATAAAAAACAAAGAAAGGCTGTGGTAATGTTCCAGCTTTTAGGAGACCAAAGAGACATGTCAACTAAATGCAATATATGATCTTAGGGGAGAAAGTAACTATAAAGGACATTATTGGGACAACTGACAAAATTGGAATACAATCTGCAGATTAAATGAAAGTGTATCAATGTTAAATTTCTTAAGTATGATAACTGCACTACAGAACATATAAGGATGTTCATGTTCTTAGGAAATACATACTGAAGTATTTAGGGGCAAAAGGGCATAATGCATGCAACCTATTTTCAAATGATTCAGAAAAAGAAGTATGGATATAGAGAGAAAATGATAAATGAAATGTGGCATATGTTACAAATCAGTGAATCTGGGTCAAGAATATTTTGGAGTTCTTTTAAAGTGAAACACAGAACTAAGTGTAAAACCTAAAATAAAAAACCTTCTGGATGAAAACATGGGAATAGCCAGGTATGGTGGAAGGATGGCTTGAGCTCAGGAGTTCAAGACCAGCCTGGGCAGCACAGCAAGGCCTCATTTCTTAACAACCACCACCCTCCCCACTCCCTCACCCCACCCCCGCCAAAAAAAAAAAAAAAAAAAAAAAAATCTCTGTGACCTTGGATTAGGCAAAAATTCTCTAAGTATGACACCAAAAGCATGATCCATAAGATTGGACTTCATATAAATTAAAAACTTACACTGTTAAGACAAAAGACAATACACAGCCGAGAGAAAATATTTTCATGTCATAAAGTCTGATAAAGGACTTACATCCAGTATACATAAAGAACACTATAAATGTATTATAATAAGAAAACAATTCTTCAAAAATATGGGCAAAAGATTTGAAGAGACACTTCAAAGAAGATATATGGGTAGCAAATAAGCACCCATATATATTATATAAAGATGATCAATATCATTAGTCATTAGGAAAATAAAAATTAAAACTACAATGTGATATCACTATATACCTACTAGAAATTTAAGACTGACCATACCAAGTATTGGTGAAGATGTGAAGAAACTGGAATTCTCTCACATTGCTGGTGGGAAAGAATTATGAAATACTAGAAATAGAACCACTCTGGAAAAGAGTTTGGCAGTTCCTTAAGGTTTAACATATCTACCATATGCTCCAGCTATTCCACTCCTAGGTGTTTACTGAAGAGAAATGAAAATGTACTCTCATAATGCAGAATTAAAAAAAGCTGGGGGAAGAAATGAAAGCATATGGCCCGTACAAAGAGTTGTAAACAAATGTTCACGGCTGGGTTTTTTTGTAATAGCCAAAAAACTGGAAACAACCGTCTATTATCAAGTGAATGGATAAACACAATATAGCATATCCATATAATGGACTATTATTTCTTAATATAAAGGAATAAATTATCAATCTACACAACATAGATGAATATCAAAATAATTATATGGAATAAATGAAGCCGGGACAACAACAACAAAAAGGAGCTCATGCTGTATGATTGCATTTGCAAACTGATTTACAGAAAGTAGGGAAGTTGTTGCCTGGGGATGAGGAGAGGCAAGAAGGAGTGACTACAAAGGAGCATCGGAAACTTTGGGGATGATGAGTATGTTCATGATCTTGAGTGTGGTGGTTTCACAGGTGTGTACATGTCACAACTTACCAAATTATATACTTTAAATTTGCGCAGTTTTTAAAATGTTAATTAGTAAACCTGAGTTACTTGTTTTTTTAAAAAAAAGACTACATGGGAATCCTTTGCACCATTTCCTGCAACTTTTCTGTAAGTTTTAAATTATTTACAAATGGGATGTTTAAAAAAAAAAAAGACTTTAAAAGGACTTTAAAAGGAGCCCCTACAATTGAGGAGTCCTATCTTTTCATATTTAAACAGGTTATTTTTGGAAAATAGCATCTACCTCTCTTAATCACCGTTTTCTTTTTTCTCTTTTGATACGAGGTCTCTCTATGTTGCTCAGGCTAGTCTCAAACTCCTGGCCTCAAGGGTTTCTCCTGCCTTAGCCTCCTCAGTAGCTGGAACTGCAGGTGCACACCACCACGCCTGGCCCACAACTTGTTTTTTGACAAATGTTTACGCTTACTCCCATTGAAATAAAAACACTCAATGGATGGGCTCAAAAGCAGAATGGAAAGGACAGAAAAAATAATCAGTGAACCTGAAGACAGAAAAAAAAAAAAATTACCCAATCTAAAAAGAGAAAGAAAATGCTTAAAAAATTTACAGAGCCTCAGGGAACCGTGTGACTATTAACAAATGATCTAAGTCCAGAAGGAGTCCCAGAAGGAGAGAAGAAAGAGGCGGAGCTGAAAAATATTCAAAAAAATAATGGTTAATTTCCCAAAAGACATAAACCTACATATCCTAGAAGCTGAGTGAACTCCAAACAGGATAAATGCAAAGACATTAATGACAAGACACACCATAGTCAAACTTCTGAAACTAAAGACAAAGAAAAAAATCTTGAAAGCAGTGAGAGCAATGACACCTTACTTACAGGGGAACAGCTATTTGAATGACAAAGGATTTCTCATCAGACACCATGGATGCCAAAAGGAAGTGGCACATTATTTTTCGAGGGCTGAAAAAATTAACTATCAGCCCAGAATTTTATATCCAGTGAAAATATCCTTAAGAAATGAAGGAGAAAGCATGATATTGAAAGAAAGTTACCTACATAAAAGAATGGCTAAAGAAACAGAAAGAAAATGATAAAAGGAGAAATCTTGGAACATCAGGAAGAACGTACAATGGAGAAAGTAAAAATACACATAAATACAGTAGACTTTCCTTCTCCCTTTGAATTTTCTAAATTATGCCTAATGGTTGAAGCAAAAATTATAACAGTGACTGATAATATATTAATATAGTAAATATTTAAAACAATTATAATTTGGGGAAGGCATAGGAATGTAAAGGGAGGAAAGGTTTCTATATTTACACTGGTAAAATGACACCATCACTGATGGTGAGAAATGATGTATATAGAATACAGCACCTACTGTAGTCACTAAAAAAGCCATGCAAAGAGAGAGACTACTTCAAAGCACTACAGATAAATTAAAATAGAATAAGAAATGAATCTGCTCTAGTGACCATTTTATTTTACTTTAACCTTATAAGGAAAAGACTAAGGACACTTTCCTAATTTAGCAAGAGAATTCAGTTTATGTACAGGTTAGGTCAATTACAATTAAATCAAGGAAGTCATAGCAAACAAGTCATTGTAATGGTGGTGAGCAAATTCAGCCTAGGAGAAATCATTTACAACTTCAAGTAAAAAGATTTTCTCTAACAAACATTTTAAAAAATGCTGTTTCCTACAACAAACATTTGATAATCTTTGCCATTTTGAGATTAAGGGTTACAATTCACAAAAAATAAATTTTTGCTCAGGCTGGTCTTGAACTCCTATCCTCAGGCAATCCTCCCACCTCAGCCTCCCAAAGTGCTAGGATTATAGGCATGAGCCACTGTGCCCAGCACAAAATAAATTTTTGAAAAGCAGAGTATTAGAGAAAAGCTTCCTGCTAATAACTAGTAAGAAACTAATTTTGTGATTAGATTCAGAATATGCATAGATCTAACTAAACAAAACCCTTACCAAAACTAGTCAGTATTCTTGATCCCTAATGCCAACGTAGCAATTGACATCTTCATCATCATATAACATCTTATTAAGCCAATAAGATCAATAGTTAATATTTTGTAATACAATTTTGTCAATAGTATTTCCTCCAGATTTCTCATTAAAATGCCATTAGAGCTGGTGATTTAATTTTCTTTAATTTTAATCAAGGATGAATTAAAGTATTTGGGGATAATAATTTCATCCTACCATGGCTCTATAGGATTTTGGTGACTGAGTAAAACTACCACCTCCACATTTCTTACTATGTGCTCCTTACTGTGCCAAGCACTCTAAACATACTTGTATTGCAAATCAGAAATACACAGATAGTGTTACCCATTTTATATGGGGAAACTGTGGTTCAGAGAAGTTCAGTAATATATCCTGGAAATCACAGGTAAGTGGCAGAGCTGGGATTCAACCCCACTCTAATTCTAAATACCACACTGCCATGCTCTATTAATGTGGGACTTCAGTTTCTTATTTGTAAAATAAGAATAAGAGTAGTCCATCAAAATGCCCTCCCAGATCCTTTCAGCTAATAAGATAAGTCTCCCCACCCTCTGAGCC